AAACAGTTGTAAATATCAATTGGAAATAAACACAAGTTTATAAAACAAATAAATAATGATTTAAATTTATATAAACAATAATTAATCATTTACGTTTATATAAAAATGAACAAGTATTATATGTAACTATTCTCCCCCGAAAGCATTAAAAGGTTTGAAAATGGATGCTTTAACGATCGGGTTTTCGTCAAATTTGCAAGATCTCGTCAAGAAATAAACCGGGAAGCGTTCTTTTTATGAGAGGTTGAAAAGTAGCTTGAGAAGGGTCAAATCCATGGAGGAATTGTTCATATATGCTTAAGATTAAGGATAAAACTCATATTCTTCTATATAATCCATACAACCTTACATAATCTACTATTGTATTGATTGGTTTGTCATCGGTTAAAGGGTTGTTATATGAACATTACAGTTGGTTTTCCTTTAACCTACTTTTAGGTAGATTGTAATAAGTTGTTCAACACATAATTTAAATATATTATAATACTTGTAACACAAATTTGTATGGTAAATGGATTATATGGACGATTTTGAGTTCAAAATGATGCTAACGTCATTGTTTTGGGGTAAATAATTGGTTATAGAGGTCTTTAATCATTAGTTTTATGGAGTTTAAGGTCGTTTATTCTTATTCGTAATTTCAACAAAGAAATTTTTAGTTTTTTAATGAAAGGGTAAAAGAGTTGAAATAAACAAAATTTAGGGCTTTTTCATAAACCGAGCCAAATAATTGGACTTTTCTGGAGGTAACTGAGTAAAATATAGTTTACAAATAAAAAAGGATTGATTTGAATTTTTTTTATCTCGTAATCATGATTTTTTTGTTAACAATTTTTTTTTGGACTTTTGCGTAAACTAACCCAAAATATTTAGACTTTTCTGGAGATTTCCCAAATAAATTAAAAAACAAAAACAAAAGGTACTAAAACTTTTAATAAAACGAAATAAAAAAAAGTATAAAAACTGAAAAACCAAGTATATGTTGCTCTAATTTTTTTTTTTAAATTAAAAAAAAAACGAAAAGTAAAACTTATTTAAATTGCGTTCAATGGACGTTTGCCGCACATGATTGTTTGTGAGTCCGTATTATGTTCCACATACTTGTGTCATATGCAAACCCATTATGTCTAAGTAATTGAATTTGACGTTTGTGTCATTAACGAAATGGGTGGTGAAGAATTGTACTCGTGGTTGCTACCATTTTTTGGTTTGCTCTTGATATTTCCAACCTAATAATTATTTTGTGAATTAATGGCACTCAAGGGCTAAATCCGAATTAAAAACTCCTAAGACTTGATTAAAAAAAATATACATAACCATAACAACCATTTTTGTTGGGGTATGAGCAAATTTATAGTATAAAATAATTATGTAAACATAGATTTAAATCTTGAATTGTCTTATGTTTTATTTTTTAAAACTAGATTATAACCCGCGTTAAATGCGGGAAACACATAATAATTAAAAAAATAAAATTTATGTGAAACAGATGAAAAAAAACATAAAATTTTAAATCAAAAGAAATTACTTGTCAAACAAGTCCATAAGCAAACAATAAAAACTAATAAAAAAAAGTCTTCAACCCAAAATGTCAGATAATGATGAATGACTTAAAGTTATTTGAAAAAAGTCACTGCCCTACTCAACATGAAAAGAGTCAAGGTAAGCAAAATACCTATTTTGCCCCAACTGTGTAACTGTAACATTATCTTTCTCACACACATATTTATAAACTACGGTTACTTGGAAGAACAATCAACTTCAAAAGCTTGATATATGAGAGGATGAACAAATTATTTAGAGACAACCTTGAATTTTTGTTTGAAGATGTAAAAGTTTGTATTTTAATTTTGGTGAATTTTAGGTACATTGAGTTTTATGATGCAATGTCTGTGCCAATGGCAATTGCCCTTTCTGGTCATTTACTTCTCGGGCAACCTGTAATGGTGAAGCCTTCAGAGGCGGAGAAGAATCTTCTTCGGTCTACTACCACAAGTGGGGTGGCAGGTGGTGTTGCGGGAGCCTTTGGGGCAGTTGACCGAAAGCTGTATGTTGGAAATCTACACTTCAACATGACTGAGTTGCAACTCAAACAGGTAATAAATCAATGCAATTAAGTTAATGAATTCAATTCTCAATATTTCATTCTTTTAGAAATACTCAAATACCCTTTTAACCCTATATAGTTTCATGAAGGTTGCAAATAACATCATTAATAAGTTATGTTTTGTTTTGTTCAGAGCCAAGTTGGAGGGAAATTGTTAATTTTCCAGAGCACTCTTCCCTCACTTGGTGTTGGTCGTTTGAGGTTGCGTGGAGATGATCTTCGCTACTATCAAGATATGCTATTGCCAAGCTCTACACACATAATCAATTAGTTAAAGGGATCTTTGTGATCAGATTCTATAGGTCCTCAATTATTTTCGGTAAATCATCCACCATATTTTTAAAAAAAAATTCTTGATTCTTATATAACTTTTTGTATTCTGGTTATTTAAGGCTTGGTTGGTTGTCCTGAAGCAGCTTCATTGATCCTCCATAATATAAATGAATTTAATAAAAGATAAATGATAAAAATAATCAATCATATAAATGAATTAAATAAAATATGTACTTATAAAATAAATCATTAATAAAAATTAATTTAAAAATAATAATAATAATAACTTAGCATTTGAAGATGTGGCAGATAACATTCCACCAAATGAAGTCAACCCCATTATTTCATCTGCTCAACCTCTCAACCTCTACCAGGAAAACTAATTTATCCATATGGCACTAATCGTTTGTTTGTGGATTCTTCTTTGGCAGTTCAGGTAGGATCATCAGTGATTGCTAAAGCAATCTTCTTGGGGTCTGTTGGGAGAAACCCTAGATCAAGAACAAATTGAAAAAAAATAAAAAAAAAATTAGTAAACTCATGGATAGGAGATATGAAGATATGAAGATAAACATGTACTTTCTTTTTTTATTTTATATTTTTAGTGTATATGTTCTATATAGTCATTAATATTTTATATGTAAATATATCTTTAAAAAATAATTTCTTACCTAAATCATATCAGAGGTTTATTTTAAACCAAAGCACTAGTGGATGTTTGATTGTTGTGATTGTGCTTAATGTATACCTACAAGTGACAATACTCACCCTTCTAAATTTTTTTCACATTTTCAAAACACTAAGTTGGATCTTGAAGGTGAATGAAGCAAGATTATTAATACTTTAATGTTATTATGTGCTTATGACTTCTATTTTTTATGTTTAGTATCATATGGTGGCATGATGTTGGATATTTTTCTATTATTTTTTTCATTTTTAAAGAGGAAATAAATACACCAATACATAAAAGTACATTGCTATACTAAGTATATGCACATTTGGTTATTATCTACGTGATATATGTAAATTGTATTTATGTTTTTCATTATACATATGAGGGTATTTTGGCCTTTTGATAAAAAATTAGAATGAAATTGAATTCCTACAACCCTCAAGAATGGTGAAACCCATCACACAAAATCTTAACGATTCCAATGGAACCGAATTCTATTCATTTGGCAAGCAAACACGCCATGGAATGGAATCATGAATTCCAACTCCTTTAGATTTTGTGAACCAAAAAATTAAGAAGAGTTTATAACGTTAATTAATTAATTAAATAAATGAAAAGATAAACAAACATTAAGTTGACCGGAATCATTGACCAAAAAATTTAAAGGTAAAGTGACATCCACAATCTGTGAAGCTAATTCATATTCATCTTTTTTCTCTTGTGGACTATTGGTGCTTTTAATTGCTTTAGTGTTACCATAAACTGCTTCAATAATTACCAAACCACTCGTTTCCCAATTGTTTATTTTTTTCCCATTCGCCACATTTTCTAACTGTTGAGCTTTCTCTGCTGCTGCTTTTGCTTCTTGAACCTATACATGTAACAACACACAAAAATACCTATAATACCCTCCAACAAAACACCTGCTCGACACATACTTTAAGAGAAGTGTTTTATCTTTTGTGAAATACCCTCCAACAAAAATCCTGGCCAACACATACTTTAAGAGAAGTTTTTTTTTTTTTTTTTTTTTTTTTTTGTAAAATACCTTCCAACAAAACACTTGGTTAACACATACTTTAAGGGTAACTACATAATTTTTACATACCTGTGTGCGAGTATGTTCCATATTCTCGAGTACTTGTTGTTTTTCTCTTCTACGATAATATGGTTTGAAAACAAGAGACTGCATGTATAAATATAAAGGATGGGAAAATACCGGCATTTTCTGACTATTTTCTCATCTTTTATTTTTATACATGCAGTCTCTTCATAAACCGAACCAAATAATTGGACTTTTCTGGAGGTAACTGAGTAAAATATAGTTTACAAATAAAAAAGGATTGATTTGAATTTTTTTATCTGGTAATCATGATTTTTTTGTTAACAATTTTTTTTTTTTTGGACTTTTGCGTAAACTAACCCAAAATATTTAGACTTTTTTGGAGATTTCCCAAATAAATTAAAAAACAAAAACAAAAGGTACTAAAACTTTTAATAAAACGAAATAAAAAAAGTATAAAAACTGAAAAACCAAGTATATGTTGCTCTAATTTTTTTTTAAATTAAAAAAAACGAAAAGTAAAACTTATTTAAATTGCGTTCAATGGACGTTTGCCGCACATGTTTGTTTGTGAGTCCGTATTATGTTCCACATACTTGTGTTATATGCAAACCCATTATGTCTAAGTAATTGAATTTGAGGTTTGTGTCATCAACGAAATGCGTGGTGGAGAATTATACTCGTGGTTGTTACCATTTTTTGGTTTGCTCTCGATATTTCCAACCTAATAATTATTTTGTGAATTAATGGCACTCAAGGGCTAAATCCGAATTAAAAACTCCAAGACTTGATTAAAAAAAAATATACATAACCATAACAACCATTTTTGTTGGGGTATGAGCAAATTTATAGTATAAAATAATTATGCAAACATAGATTTAAATCTTGAATTGTCTTGTGTTTTATTTTTTAAAATTTGTTCCTATATATGTATCAACTTATCCGACCCATCAAAAACCCTTGAGCATAGAAACAAGAACTTCGTACATTCATCAACAAAATCTTGAAAACCTGACCTATTTCCAAGAACAACATCTAAAACTCCTGAATCCAGAAACGATGTTCAATACAGTTCAAATCCAATACATTTCCACACATGAATTCAGGATTTACGCAGCCCTAGCAAGAACTTCCACCTGTTCATGGAGATCACCAGGTTCAATATAAAATTCCCTTCGAACAAAGGATCTTGGAACAGTAATCGTCAACACCCCATTCTCATAGCCAGCAGAAATCCCATTCACGTCGATTGTTTCCGGGAGCCTGAATTTCTTCAAGAAACTCCGACGTCCGGCCATTATCATCATATCATCTGCTGACTCCGTTCGAATGATGAGGTACTTTGAGTCCTCGATTTCCACACGTATATCTTCTTTTCTTACACCTGAAACACCCAAAGATCAACATCCATCAGTTATATAATAAATCAACCAGAAAACCCAGTTCTAGTTTTGTTAAAACATGAAAAGATGGACGCCATACCAGGGATATCGGCGGAGTAGATGTGGGATTCCGGGGTTTCGTCCCAACGATCCCATCGAACGTAGTTTTCAGGGATGAATGGGTATGGAAAGAGGAGAGGGGAGGTGAAGAAAGATTGCAAAGAAGGTTGAAATGTTGAGAATTGCATTTCCTTCTTTTGGGATTTGAAGGAAAATATGGACAGAATCTGAAACCAAATCAGAATCAAAATCAGCATCAAGGAATACGAGGAGGGGAGAATTGATCGGTTTGAGTAATTATAGACCAAAGTTGAATGTTCGTTGAAAATTGATTGGATCCTAACTGTTGTAAAAGGAAATAAAACAACCCCATCCACTCAAATATTGGTTTGTAAAATAGAATTTCACTTCAATTTGAGACAAATATTAACCCAAACCTTGCTTGGAATTGTCATTCTGTCAATAAAACATGGTCAAATAGTGCAAGGTTTTTATTTTGTTTTATTTATTTATTTTTTGATAGAGAAGTTAAAATAGTGGAAGTTAAGTTAAATGGAAAATAAAATTTCCACTGAAATTAATTCGTCCACATAATATACAATATCATTCGAGATGTCTTACAAATCAGGAAAATATACATTTTATGTAGATAAATAAATTCTTTTAACTGGAAATATCACTTCCGAATCCATTCATACATGAGAGGTTCTATTGGACTTAGATTTGTACTAATTAAATTATTTGAACCCATAAACAATGGGTTAAGTGTTCATTTATCGGGCCTATTAATAAAAAACAAGCCGAACACTACTTTATCTAATGGGCAAATTCTAATTAGACGAGAGATTGATAATTTGGGTATTAATCGAGTTAGACCAATTGCTAAATATGAACTGGTTATAAATCCCAATTTGATTAGATAGATGGATAATCTTTTATAGATTAAGAACAAAACTATAACATCTATTTCTAAACTCATAGAATCATATATTTTCATTATCAAAATGGACCAAGGGAGTGATTCATTTAAATGAAAAAGATAACTACTTGAAGGGGTCGAGCATGTGATTTTGATGTTAAAATCGATGTGCTCGACTAATTCCTCTTCAAATTTGAACTGCACTTCAAACTTAAAGATCTCCCTTTTATACAAACTTGAAGTTCGTTCAATGAAGTAATAAAGAGGAGCTGGGGGTTTAAAATCTAATATTTTATTATTTGACAAAACTAGTCCCTCAAGTTCTGAATTTTGCAAACTAAACTGATCGTGCCATGTTAGGGATATAAGACTTCAAATAAGTTGAATGAATGTTTGTTTGCAACTTTGATGGACTAACAAGCATGTGTGATGAAGAACACAAAGACTTGAAGAAAAGATGTTGATGATCAGATTCACGATGTTTTAATCGTATCTCAAACTTTGATGTTTTGGTTGATGTGATTCAAAATGTTTCGAAGACTAGACAAAGTTGTGTACAACTTTGGTGTTTGTATTTAAGCTCATTAGAACTCAACCTTTTTTGAGTTTGCGTTTGGAGCGTCCTAGCATACCAAACGTGTTTGGCTGCATTTTTCTAATATTCCAGGACAAAAGATACCAACCAAAAATGCCTAGGCATGTTTGACGTCGTCCTAGGATGCTGCCTATGATGGTGTCGTCGTTTTTTACCCTAAAAGTTGGTTTTTCACTTCCTTATAAATAAAGACTCTCCTTATTCGATATGACACCTCTCCCCTGTGAGTTTGTAGACTTCCAAACACATTTCTAATAATCGATTTACGAATTCGGGGCCATGAACCATCTAGTTCCTCATCATTCAACCTTTAAAGAGTGTTCAACCCATTGAAACATCGTCTTCATCTGAGTTTTAGAATTTAGGTTCTTCCTCCCTAAGGTTCATCCATTCTGAGTTTTTCCAACTATTAGACATTACTAGTTACTATAGAAGGCTAAACCATTTGATTTAAATTCCAGGATATTGCAGGATTTTAGGATGAACACGTTTTGATTATTACTTATGTTTCAATCAATTTTAGTTATTTGGTTGTTCTTCAAGTAATCATTAACTAGCAATAATCAAAATTAGGTTCTATGTATGTGATTAGTATTGCAATTAAGATAATGTGTCGAATTTACTAATCATTCAGAGTACAAGTAGTATAGGAACTAAAATGTTCACTTGGATCCTTATAGACTTTCCAAGCTTGTAGTCTTAGATGTTTATTATTCCAATATGTAATCATAATACACAATATTATTAAATCACTCGTTCCTAATTTAAGTAAAAATAAGGAGTAAGACAACCAATTGGAATGACATAGTTATGCCCAAAATTATATACTTCATGTTAACTAATCTTAAGTAATTAAATTGGAATTTAAGGAAAGATAAACGCGTGAGTCTGAACCGGAAGTATCTTGTTTTTCTCATTGATGATATTTCGTTTAGCTATTCTTAACAACTTAAAAGTTTCTAGATTTTTAGTTAATTTTAGTTTAAATCAATCCGTACAAATTGCAACTAATAGTTTTTCCACATACTATTTTAACATAGAGTTTGACCACAAACTCCTTGTGTATTTGAGTAGACTAAATCTATCTACTTAAGTGTACTTAGTTTATTTTTGATCTATAAACAACAAATCATCATAAACTAAGGTGATATTTTTCTAACATACTAAATCCTTTATTTTATAATTTGACCCCTAAATACTAGATATTCTCACAAATAAGGTACACCAGTGACTACCAATGACTTAGTCATTGAGGTTAAATCCGTGTTACAAATACACCTTCATACCTTGAAGAGTCAACTTCTAACTTTAAAACTTTGAAATTTAAATTCCAAACTTTTCAATAAACATTTTAAAATTTGTTATAACTATTTACTTTATATCAAAACTGTCTTTTATGAAAAAAAAAAATCTTAAACGTCAAAATTTCAAACCCCAAAACGCAGGTGTTACGGTACATGTTCGTTATGAGAGTGTATCATCTACATAACAACCATTAAATTGTATAACTTGAATCTTGCCCGTGTAAGGATACTGATAGAGAGTGTGTGCTTCGGCTCTATAGCTTACATGTATTATGAACCGTACTATAGACAGAATATTAGCAACTCGATATAAGGTTTCTATAATATCTTTCTATGCTTCTGTTTAAGTTTCTCATGTACTACACAATGGACTTTCTCCCACGAAATTACCCACGGACCAAATCCGTGGGTAATAACCTACACATTTGCCACGGATTATTTTCCACCATTAAAAAAATCATAATCTTATAAAGTAGTTTTCACGGATTACACACAAACTACCCAAGGAAATAAATCTGTGGGAAAAATATGACCATCACCTACGACTTACCCACAAAGTTCAAAAGATAGGAAAATATTTATGGTCTGCGGGTAATCTGTGGGTGAAGGTCTGTTTTGTAGTAGTGATAGGTTATCCTTTTTGGTCGAGTTTTTGGTTTCGTTGGTATACTCTTTTCGATGTGTTTATGCAATGTTTGTGCACCTTGCGAAACCCAACATTTATTTAAATAAAAATTTCTAATGTTTCATGTTTAGAAAATTGTTTCTTCATCAACATGATACCCCTTTTCTGCTTGTAATTTTAAACATTCAAAGCTTAATTTGGCTATGGTTTCAGTATGATGGACTTACACTTTCGGTATTTGTTGCTTTATCAGTATATTTTCCAAGTTCTAAGTATCACAAATTCACAACATAAACCAACATAAATATGAACAAAAGCTATGAAATTGTGTTTTATAGTAAAATTCTCATTTACTAACGTAAAAGAAAACACATATTTTCTCATCGTTTATTCATATAAAAGGAACATTACGGAGAACACAAAAGCTTGTGACAACCACCTTGTGTTTTTTTTTTCTCAATATTTTCCTTGTGTAAATGATCTTCTCATAATTCCTGTGCAGAGTGTACCCACATAATAATGAAATGTGGAACTTAAAAAACATAGAATCTTAAAATAAATGTTGATGCATAAGGTGCATTTTACATGTAGTTGTTTTTTCCTAATTTGATTGGAAGAGATCCGTTGCTACTGATTGATTTGGATCTTGATTAACATCAATCTTGCTGACTTCACCTGTAAAAAATATCATTATGTCACCTTAAGAAACAACATGCTTGATATTTTGTCTCAAACTAACAATCAACTTTGTAAGACGGCAAAAAGAACATTATCCTTTTCATGACCAAACAATTTTAAACACATTATAAACATATATATCCAAAGTAAATTTTCAATTTTTGTCCACAATATCACTAATTCTTGCATGGTGTAGTTAGGCCCTAGACTAGTCTAGTCCGGACAAGACTAGTTGGGCTATTTTTGAATGATAGTATGAGGTCATTCATAAAAGATTCTCTCTCACCTTGTTTCAACTTTTTTGGGTGAGAAAAAACTTACTTTTTTGTCTTATTTTGCAAAGTCGGTCACATCCTATCCTAGGTAACAAATAGGATTATACTTTTATTGTAAGACTAACGGTTTGTTTGCGACAAAAAGCCAAGTAAGATCACTCAAAACTCTTCCATACCTTGGTTTTCACTTTCTTGTTGGAGCATAACTTTTTCAAAAGTCGGGGGCTCTTCCATTCCGGTCTCTACATGAGTTATAGTCTCTGGATTTTCTCCTTCTTGATTTTGTCTATCTACTTCATCGATTACAGATTCATTATTGATATCTTGTACAAGAGGTGCACCAACATGAAGACTAGGATGTTTCACAACGTCATTTGTAGGAAGAGTACTCTCGGTCATTAGATCAGAATCAGATACCAAATGATCGTTTTTTAACCCATGGCCACAATCATCATTCTTTGGGGGTTCTTGCACCATCTTCGAGACCTCAAAAACTTGCATAAGCTCATCTTGCTCCACCATCCTCAAATTCTCAGGTGGGAGAGCGGAATTACTACTTCCTCCAGTCATCATGGGGGTAGTTTGGTAATTTTGCATTGTTACGGGGATTGTTAATTGTGGTGGTTGTTTTGTGCATGCGACTTGAGGAGTGCATAATTGAGTCGGGTTTGAGTTGGGTATTTGATAGTTTTCTCTCCTACACATCTTGAGGTGTGGAGTTACGTCGTTGGCTGGTGTTATTGGACAAAAATGCCCTTGTTGAAACACAAGACCCCGGAGGAGAGTGTTGTTAGGTCCTACACGAACAGAAATAAGATATCCAGCATCAAAGATACCATCGATCACACCTGTAACCACCTGCCCCACCATGTTATGGTTGTCACCGGTGGGCGTCATTGTTAGGGTTGGTGGTGGTTGCATGGCTGTCATGGCGGGAATTGGTGGTGGTTGTGACGGAGACATGGAGGTTTGTGTTTGTCTCTTATCGTTCCGTGGCATGCTTTCATCCTTACGTGGACGACCACGCTTGCGCTTTACTGGGAGTTCTGATGCACTCGAAGAAGGTGTTTTTGACATGTTTTGTTGATTCATTCTGCAAATCTCTTGATGTAATTAAATGATATATACTGAAAATAATTCCTTCTATCGAACGTTTCCTGCAAAACAACCACAATTCGAATTCTAAATTATCATTACCACAATTCAACGCATGATTCACGAAGTATGCTATATATCCCAACTTTTAGATCATCGGGTGTGGATTACCTTTCGTCTTAATCTTGAATTATCAATAAACTTTCTTCCTCAAGAAATCAATGGATCATGATTTAATAAATTTCGATCCTTAAATCAATGCTTTCATGATTTTCTCGTAAAATTAAAATCCAAAAGAAGGCTTTTACGTAAACCAATCTAACAATTAAACCTTGCATTCTAAATCAATTAATTAAAACAATCCCATATGAAAATTGAATCTTTTTGCAATTCTTTAAAAATATAAAATGAAATTTTAACAATAGGATTACCTATAAGCACATGCATGGATTTGAAGAACTTACTTGAGAAAGTTTCTGATGAGGCGAATGAATGCAAAGGAATCAGATGGTGAAATGATTTTTTTTTTTTAGTTTTCTTTTTCTGTGGAATTGTTTTTCATTAGGAAAATATAGATAAGAGTGGTATTTTAGTAAAACTATGAACGTGATCCATTTGTTTCGTTTTAATTCAGATATAGACATTTTTATGAGATAAATTTGTAGATGAGAAATTAATGGGTTGAACAAACGAACTCTGAATTTAGGGCGGAAAACAAGGAAAAGAGAATTGAAATTTCTTAATAAAACGATCATGTATGTGGAATGGTATTGACCCAGTGAGGAATATCGATTAGGTTTCTTTGATCGAATGAGGAAGTCGAGGAATGGTCATCGATTGCGCAAATAACGAAATGTTCACGTTACCATAGGTAGACTAATATTCACTATGTGAGTTATAAACTTCTATTATAAATTATAATTAGAGGTAATTAGAGGTTAGATATAAGAGTTATTCTTTAAAATAACCATAAAATACGGACTCATAATTGTAGACAGTAGATATCTACTAATATGCCATATATCCAAAAATAACCAATGGCCCATGAACAAATGGTTGGGAAATAGAGATTACAAATTTTCCTATAAGCTTAGGTGAGTTCGGTTCACAGAATGTTTTTGAATGAATTGGAATCTGTCTTAAATTAGAATCTAATTCAATATTCTGTTTGGTTAGCAGTAAATGGAATTTGAATCAAATTTTATATTTTTGTTTGGTTGACGGAAAATAGAATTGAAATAGTGTAAAATGACAGAACTACCATTCTTGGTTTTTGCTTACTTTTATATTTTTTTTTTATAATTATATGTAAAGATATATTATATAAATTATAAAAATAGTAAACGGTGGTGGTGGCGGCAACGATGGTGGCAGAAGCGACGGTGGTGGTGATGGAGGTAGTGCGTGGTGGTGGTAGTAGTGGCATCACTAGTGTTAATGGTAGAGGCAGCGGTGGGTGTTAGCGGCGGCGGCGGCGGTGGTGGTGGGTGCAGGTGGTGGTGACGGTGGTAGTGGTGGTGGTGGCAATAAAGGTGATGGTGGTGATGATAGAGTTAGTAGTAACTACGATAGTGGTAGGGTGGTGGTGTAGGTGGTAACGGAGGTTATGGGTAGTGGTGGTGGTGGTGACGGTGGTGGTAGTAGTGGTGTCGGCGATGGTGATGGTGGTAACGGAAGCGGCGGTAGTGGTGGGGCGGTAGTGGTGGGTGGTGGTGGCGAAGGTGGTGGCAGTGGCGACGACATTAGTGGTGATGGTTAGCGGTGGTGGTGAGTGGGTGGGTAGGTGACGGAGGTGGTGGTAGTGGAAGTGGTGGCGAAGGTTGTGGTGGAGGTGGTCGCGAGTAGTGACGGAAGTTTTTCATATTTAATGTTAAAAATGAAAAGGGTAATATGATAATCTTCAACATTCCCACTTGAAGGAATTTGAAATTTCCTCATCTTTTAGATGAAATTTATTTTCCCTCAATGGAAGGAAAGTTGGACACATTTAGGAATCCAGTTCCTTCTCAAAACTTGAACCAAACATAGGAAAGTGACGGAATTAAATTCCAATTCCTTCTGATTCCAACAGATTCCAGGAAACCACCCCTTAATATTTTCTCGTGCACAAAGTTTATTCTTCGCAAAACTACTCTTACGTCTGATCAGTTACATAAATAGATCATGAATGAGCTCACTAAGTAGTGATGCACGTAACTTTGTATATACAGTAGACATTGAGGATGAATGAGAAAAATCACTACAATACAACATATATTGTCGAAACTTTCATAAACGATTTTCGTTGAAGAAAACAATGCAGACAACATATGAAGGTGATGAATTGATGATCTAGTATATATCATGGATTATATCTAAGTAAGTTGATAAATTATCTTAGTTGTTACATACTTTAAATTTTCCCATTTCACGGAATCACTAATAATCTTAATCGTTTTGTCTTGTTTTAATGTAGATGTTAGAGGAGGCAAACAATTAAAAATACCTCATCCTATGGCTAATCCATGGTTATTTTTAATTAGTGAGAATAGTGTTAGAGGTATATATATATATATATATATATATATATATATATATATATATATATATATATATATATATATATACTTATGTATTGTTTTAGGGTGTTCCCCATGTATAGTTAGCCCACTATATTAGCCGTTTAATATTTTGTATTGTATATATTTTTGTGGAATGCATTATTGGAATTCATGGGAAAATCATTTGATAACATGGTATCAGGCCAATAGAAACCCAACCTGTTTCCCTCTAGTCTCGATCTATCTACCTGTTGACATATTCCCTCTGTCGACACTTCCTCTTTTTCACCGTTTTATTTCATTTCTTCCTCGTTATGTCTACTTCTCTTGATAAACTATACAATATTGTCAACATCAAGTCTTATGTCCACTTATTCTTGATCTTGATAGATTAAACTACGATGCTTGGAGAGAGTTTTTCAAAAACCATTGTATGGCATACAAAGTTTATGAACATCTCGATGGCTCTTCTTAAAAACCTACGGATATCGATTAGTGTAAAGACGACTTTATAGTGAAACAGTGGCCGTTCGGTACTCTAACACAACCACTCATTCAACCTATCTTGATTCCCGATGCTACTGCTGCTCAACTTTGGAAGGCAATTGAAGATTTTTTTCATGACAAGAAAGAAGCTAATGCAATTGAACTTGAAAACCAACTCAAAAACATAGCTATCGGTGACTCCAGGGTGATGGAATACTACACCCACATCAAAACTATATCCGATCTACTAGCCAATATCAGATCAAAGGTACCCGAAAGAACTCTTGTCACTTATGTACTCAACGGACTTTCCTCAAAGTTTGATTATATCGTCACTACCATCCGCCACAAAACCCTGTTTCATACTCTTCTCAAAATGGGGTCAATGCTCACGATTGAACAAACATTGCAACATCAACACAATGGGGTTCCTCAAGCATCTCATACAGATTTGCCTTCTTCTCACCAAGTTCTTCACACTTCTCATTCATCACAATCACCAAATTCTGGAAATTATAGGGGCAATCAACATGGTGGTGGTCGGAATCGGGGCGGTAGCAAAAATAAAGGCGATGGCAGGAACTGGGGTAGCCACCGAAATAGTGGAGGCGGCTCACCTTTCTTGTCAGACGCATCATCTCCCAGCAGACACTGGGTCTTCATCCTAGCCGACTCCAATGCAGATGGGCTGCTTCCATTTCCTCATCAGTCTCGTTGGCCCAACTCGTAACAAGCCCAGCAGCGACAACAATTTGCTTGGCCCAATCAGCAGCTCCCTTCTCAAGCTCTTTTTTTTGGAAATCAATAAAATTACCCCATTACTTGGCAGCATGCCTAATTTTTTGATTAACCCACATCGATTCCTCAAGCATTCACTACCGTGAACTTTCAGGATCCCGGGAATGTTGACTGGTACATGGATACCGAGGCGACTGCTCGTCTCCATGCCGACTCAGGTATTCTAAACTCTATTAAAAGTAATTGTAATAATTTTTCAGTCTTGGTTGGTGACGGATCACGAATCCCAGTTACCCATGTTGGTAATACGTCTCTTACTCAAAATTCTTTCCGTCCCTTATTTCTAACAATGTCCTTGTTACCCCTCAACTTATTAAAAATCTTATTTTTGTTCGAAAACTAACCCATGACAACAAATGCTCTATCGAATTTGATGAATTTGGGTTTTCTGTGAAGGACTACCTCACCAAATAAATCCTTATAAGATGTGACAGCACATGCGAACTTTACCCTTTCACCAAACAACTTCTCAAGCGTTTTTGAGTGTCAGTTCTTCCATGTGACATTAACGGCTTGTTCATCCCGGCTCCCAAGTCTTCAAGCATTTATTATCTAATAATCTTATTTCATGTAATAAAAAAAAATCCTAGTATCTCTTGTCATGCTTGTCAGCTTGGCAAACATGTTCGTTTATCTTTTGATTGGTCTAAAACAGATGCTACTTTTCCTTTTCACGTCGATCATTCTGTCATATTGGAATAAAATACTATGTCATTTTTCTAGATCAATATTCTCATTTTGTATGGGTTTATCGTTTCCGAAACAAATCTGATGTTTTCTCTAAAATCCTTCGCTTTCGCATATGTTACAAACCAATTCAAAATCGATACCCGAATGTTTCAATGTGATAATGGTAAAGAGTTTGATAATAAACAATTTCACCATTTTTGTGACTCAAATTGTATTCAAATGCTTTTTTATTGTGCGTACACATCTCAACAAAATGGCAAATCTGAACGCATGCTCCGCACCCCAAACAACACCATTCCAACCCTACTTTTTCAAGCTCACCTTCCACCCACCTATTGGGTGGAAGCTCTTCACATGGCATCCCACCTTCTAAATATCCCTCCCTCCACCACTATAAATCACAACTCTCCATATCACAAACTCTTCCTCAAACACCCCTCTTACACTCATCTCCATGTCTTTGGTTACCTTTGTTACCCTCATCTCAACCAAGCTCACAAACTTCAACCTCGCTCCGTTCCATGCATTTTTCTTAGATACCCTTCTAATCACAAAGGATATCGATGCCTCAATCTTCATACCAAACGAAATCACCATCACTCGTCATGTCATTTTTGACGAATCCGTGTTCCCGTGTGGGTCTCTCACCCCCGACAAGTCTCCTGACTATGAATTTATCAACATTGAAGATCAACGAAATATCTTCAAAAATCCTACATACCCTTCGCAACTACACCTCCATCTATCCCCACCAACACCTCCACCCACTAATACTTTGATAACACTGCCAGCAACCCCTCCCCTTCTGCTGCCAACTCGTCCGACGGTGTTGTTGTCTCCGACAACTCTTCTTCCGGTCCCAATTCCTTACTAAATCCCCTCCCCTCCATATCAGCAAATCAACCCCCTCGCACTCACCATATGGAAACCCGTGCTCGTTGTGGCATCTTCAAACCAATTGACAAATTAAACCTTCATATGGAATCTTATCTCTCTCCTCTTCCCAAAAACTATTCCGAAGCTTTTAGTGATCCAAACTGGTACAATGCCATGACTAAAGAATTCAATGCACTTATTTCTAATAGAACTTGGA